CCTTGTATCCCTGGTTCCTAGCACAGTGCCTAGCACACAATAGTACTCAGAAGTGGTCATTGTTGATGATCTCTGCCGCTCAATCATAGGACCAGCCCTGGTGGCTCTGTAACTGATACTCAGGGACTGTCCACTGGTTCCTTATCATGACTAGTGTAGAAGAGGACATTCCTTTTTGGATAGACTATAGGGCAGGCACCATAAGTTCCCAAGTGTTCCTGGAGCCTCTTCTTGTAGACTAACAGAGCCCCAGCCTAGCATTTGTCCACACCTGTCTCCCAGTGACTTGAGCCTTCTGTACATCATCCCTCTCCCTGGCCATGGCTCTAGAGGCAGGTGCGGCAATGTCTTCATTATCTACCATCCATCCATCATGCAATGCCGAAGGAGGGGCATTCCATCTGAGCCACGCCATCTCGTGATGACAGCTGAGAAAAAAATGTGGGTCTTACTCAGGCCCCTGGATGAAGACAGGCAAGATGTGTTTGATGGGGTCAGACAGTGGTACAGTGGTAAACTGCAATGCTCTGGGAAGCTGACCCATGTGGGAAGGGTCTGGGTTCATGTCTGAAGACCTCCCCAGAACACGCTGGGCACACTTGTACCCATGATCTGGGGTTGGTTGAACCTGGGGGTTTACTGTGCTGTCAAGACCCTGTTGGGGATGCTCTGTGTGTCTCCCTCTCTCATAGAAGAAATAAATATAATAGCTTTTTAAAAAGTGATGTTTGAAGTGTCCAGAGCTGGGACAGAAATATAAAGAACCATCTAGCCTCAGACAAGCAGAACTTGAGCTCCTCACCCCCAAACCTACAAATGGGTGTCTGAATTCAGATGAAGTTCTGCAGGCTTCACACAGAAAGGAGTAAACGCGAGGCACTTGTTGAGGGCTGATGCAGACAGGAAAGAAGTCATTGCAGAGATGTGGGTGGATCTGTGAGCACTCGGTCAGGGACAGTTTTTCTTTCTTTCTCCCCTTCTTACCCTCCCCCCCCCATCTCTCCTTCCCTCCTGATTCCAGCTCCACGGGAGTCTACACTGGAGACTCCATTCTTGGATTCTTGTTTCAGGCTCATTAGTTGAGGCTCTCTAGGCACCAGACCATTTCAGAAAGGCGTCACTCTGCCCACCCCCATCCCAAGATGTCAGACTGCTGCCCTCCGTTCCTGGGACAGCCAGGCTGTCACGCGAGTGGTCACACTGGGATGGTTTGGCATTCATGCCTCGTGGAAGGCATTGCTCTGGTGGGCACCAGGGAAGTCAGGAAGGTCTCCCCGTGCACTGGCAGAGCTGGGGTCAGTGAGCCTGTGCCGTGCGCCTGAACCCCAGCATCCACAGCCTGAGACTTCTAGATCCTCACATTTTATCTACTGACTACTTCACTCTGTCTTCTGCCTGTCCCAGCTTCATGTCAAAGATGAAAAAACCAAGGGTCAGGTGGTGGGGGGAGGGGGCAGCAGTAATGCAACTGGACTCACATGAGAAAGATCCTGGATTCCTATCCCAGCACCTTCTTAAGCTGGGCCGAGCCTGGGGGTCGATCGTGACCTGAAGATTCTGTTGGAGGTGTCTCTCTCTTTTTTGTCTCTATCTTTCATAGAAGATATAAATAAACTAATAACAACAAAAGAAGATGAATAGGGCAGATCCTCTGTTGCCAGCCTCCAGAGCATCTGCGACTCTCCCCCATCTCCCTCTTGCCTTGGCCCTTCGGCCTCCTTCTTCCTTCCTCTCCTCCATCACCACCCATCAGTCTCTGGTCTCTCTCCTCTTCCACCGTCACCCCCACCCATTCTCACCTCAGCTTCCTCCTGTTGATCCTGCTCCTTCTCCAGTCTCATTGTCCTTCCTTCGTGAGTCTCATCCTGCCTCCTTCCTCCTCCTCATCAACCTCGTATGAGTTCAGCATTTACTGAGCACCTGCTATGCCCTGGGCACGATGCTACCACAGGAAATGCAGAAGTGAGTATCGGCAAGATTCTGCCAGCTCAGGCCGTGGTCTAGGATACTCCATCCACCTCCTTCATATACCTTTTTTCCCCTGTGTCCTCTGTCATCCTCCCTCCTCCTCCTCTTCCTGTGACTTCCTTTCCTTTTCTCATGGCCTGCCTTGACATTTGCAGCCCACAGAGGCAGCAGGAGCTGGAGCGAGCAGAATTACCTTCTTTTCCAGATTGAAAATCCCAATGGACATTGTGGGTCCTGGGAAATTCGACCGCAGGAGCCCTGGATGCTGCCATCCCCACATGGCAGGTAATAGATGAGACCAAGGGCCCAAGACATTTATCAAGCCCACCTCTTTTCAGGGCCAAGACAGGATGGAAATGCCTTGTCAGCTCTGCAGCAGCCCACTGCCCCTGACAGCTCCAAGCTGTTTATTAAAAGAAAGAGAGAGAGAGATTGAGAGAGAGAGGAGTGTGAATGCCATCTTGCTGTATATTAGGGGAGTGATTCCAAAGCAATGACGTTGACAGTCCCACCTTCAGGTAATCATGAAGAAGCCTTCTATCTGATCTCTCAGCTCAGGCCCAGCTGTGCTGAGGACAGGAGGTGACAGACAGGACATGGGAAAGGAGCAGCTGCTCTGGGCAAGTGTGCGGCTTTTGTTTTAGCACATGGGGGCCAACCTGTCTTCTAAAGGACGAGATGCAAGGGAACCTGCTCGCTCCTCCTTCCATTCATCCCTCTTTGAACTTCCCTAGAAACTTTCATTAAACCCAGTGGTGGCCAGGCTCTGGAGATTCAGAGATTAGTGAAAATAAAAATGATTGCTGTTCATTGTTAATGGTTGAGAGTCATTAATTATCCATCATAAACATTCATTGTTATTTGACTAATTAGTTGCCAGGCACTGTCTGGAGGGCTTTTCTCTCGTTCTTCTAACTGTCCCAGAGGTCAGGACTATGACCTTGGCATAGGGATGGTAGAAGGAATGCTTCAGGTGAAGAGAACAGTCCATGCAAAACCCAGAAGCATAAAGGTTTTGACCTGTACCAGGAGATTGGCATGACTGGAGCAAGTTGAGCAAGAGGGCAGCTCCTTAGAGAAGTGGTTGAGCAGGGAGCAGGGAGCCTGACCCTACAGGAGAACTGAGGTTGGTGAGGATGGTGGGTAAGGAGGTAGCTCATCTGCACCCTCCTTGACCCTATGTTCTCCTCGTTCACCCCAGACTACAACATCCACTCTCCTCCACCTGCTGATGTAGGGAATAAGGAGAGCCGGATGAGCACAACCAGCTCTGTGTCTTGTCCTCACGAAACCCTCTAACAGAGACTGTCATTGCCCTGATGACCTCCCATAGGTCCTGGGGCCTGGGGGCATCCTGGTAGACCCAGAGGAGAGAAAAGTATGGAATCATTGGAGTTCTGGTCTCAGGAGCTCAGAAAGGCAGTGTTTGTGTCTGTCTTGGCTTCCTCTGACTGCCATAGACTGAGTGGCTTTATGAGTGGCTCATAAACAACAGAAATTTACTTCTCACAGTTCTGGAGACTGGTGGAATCAGTGCTGTTCATAGAGAGCTTTCTCATTACATCCTCATGTGGTGGGACAAGCAAGGGTTCTCTCTGGGGTCTGTTTCCTAAGGGTGCTAATCTCATTCATAAGGGCCCTGTCCTCACAAGCTATTCGCCTCCCAAATGCCCCACCATTTAAGACCATCATTTCGGGGATTAGGCTTCAACAGATGAATTTGGGGCAGGGAAGACTCAAACATTTAGTCCACTGCAATCTCTACCCATTTCCCTGGAAAAAAAAGACCTCGATCCCTTATTTTATCTGCCCTTCCCATTTGGGGGCATCACCTCCAGGCATCTGGCTTGTCTTCTTTTCCGGATTCAAAATCCCAATGGACATTGTGATCAGTTCTCCTTCTGAACTGTCCTAGGTGATCATGGGTTGAGGTGGTGACATCGCACTGGGTAAGCCAGGAGCCTTCTCCCAAGTCTTGTTCCAGAATCCCTCCCCCGCTCTGAGTGCTTACCACCCTCTGTAAGCTGAATCCTACAATTGTCCTGGTTGTTACAGTAAGAGCCACAGAGCAGACATAAGCATGGTGGTTAGAAAACTGCCTATACATCACCCTCAGCTTCTATTTGGGCCCGAGACCACGGCTTTGTGCACCTTGCCAAAACTCCTGACATTTGACATTCTTTTTTCCTTCTTAATTTTTAGTAAATTGTAACTTTGCTGGTGGGCAGGAAGGGGATAGTTTCTCTTTGCAGGAAGACACATGATTTTATTTATTGAAGGAAAGGTTGATGGACTCCAGTCTCTCTCCTTTACATGAGCCCTTTACTTTTCAGTCTATAATTTCACCCCACTGAGAGGTTCCTACTTTTCAGAGGCAAAGTGTTTTGGGCTCAGCTGCTGCAAATGCTCTCTGCATAAAAGCCGAGTCTGGTGTAGTCCCAGAATAGAAACCGTCTGTCCTCTGTGTATAGTCTTGGTTTCAAGTTGATTTCATGTGAATCTTTCCCTTTTAGGGGACAGTTTTTGCCCCCACTCCCACTCCACGAGACAGGAGTGTCATGGAGCATCGTGCTGAGACACATTTTGGGATCATTGACTCTCAGTAGCCCCATTTGGTGGGACCATCTCCTGGACTTGGTCCTAAATAAATAAATACTCCCCTGTGTGGCCCCCTCCAGTCTTAGAGAAGCAAATTACTTATTTCACAGTAGGCTCTGGGATGATGGGTCCTATCATGTCAGGTATGATGTCTCATAAATCTAAGTCATCCATCCTAGCTACAGTTTAATCTACTCAAACGTACTTAGCTGGGTTTAATTATAGACAGAAATTGCATTTCAGAAAGCAACAAGAAATAATTTACATGGCTTGAATTTGCACATTAAATCATACGGTTCATTTGAGAGTGCGGTACGGATGGCATTTCCAAAGAAAAATAATATTAGTGCCTGTGCTCAGTGGCTCTCACACCAATTGCACAAATTGTACGAATGGCACCATTTCTACTTTCTGCATTTGTCTTCTCGGTACAGGATGAACAAGGAGGCTGGGGATGCTGAGAGGATTCAGCCAGCGTCGGCGCTGAGCAGAGCCCAGGATGTCCGCAGCAAGACCTCGGGGGACAAGTCTGTTTCTCCCCTCTCTGTCCACAGAAGGAAGTACTGCCATTTGGGGGATGGTGAAGGGTTTGGTGTCCAGAAAAAACCCACGGAGAGGTTAGGAGTCCTATCTTCTTCCCCAGCTTCTCGGAGTAGAGATACCTCCCCGCTGTCCAGGGACAAGCTGCCTAGCCCTTCAGCAGCTCTCTCAGAGTTCGTGGAAGGACTTCGGAGGAAGAGAAGCCAGAGAGGCCGGGGGTCCACACTGAGCCTGGAGGACTGGCCCACCCTCCCCATTTACCAAACGACTGGGGCCTCCACGCTGAGGAGGGGCAGGGCCAGCAGTGATGAGGGACACCTCTCATTGAGGCTTGGGGCAAAATCACCCCCGGAAACAGAAGGGGCCACAGGCGGGACATCAGCTGGTCTACTACGGTCAACCAGCATGAAATGCATCTCTTCGGATGGCATTGAGGGCGCAACCCCACTGCCCGAGACACTGAAGACCCGGTTCAGTTCCTGCGAGTCCCTCTTAGAATCAGGACCAGGCTTGAGGAGAAAACTGAGCTCCCCTACTGCACCCAGGGACACAGTCTTGTCGCCAACACTTCGACCCCGGAGGCGGTGTCTGGAGTCTTCAGTGGACGATGCAGGCTGTCTAGACCTTGGGAAAGAGCCACTTGTCTTCCAGAACCGCCAGTACGCCCACCTGATGGAGGAACCTCTAGACAGTGACCCATTCAGCTGGAAGCTCCCAAGCCTCAACTATGAATGCAAGACCAAAGTGGACTTCGATGACTTCCTCCCGGCCATCCGGAAGCCCGAGATGCCTATGTCCTTGGCCGGAGCAGCCAAAAGTGGGCAAGATAGTTCACAGCGTTCAAGTGTCCACTTCGAGACAGAAGAGGCTGATCGTTCCTTTCTCTCGGGGATCAAGACCATTTTGAAAAAGAGCTCAGAGTCCAAGGAGGACCCAGCTCACCTCTCCGACTCATCCTCATCCTCCAGCTCCATCCTGTCCTTCAAAAGTGCTGACAGCATCAAGAGTCGACCGAGAATCCCACGACTCGATGGTGACGGTGGCGAGCGGACATCCCCCGAGATCAGAGAGCCGGGAGCAGGGAGGAAGGATGACGACGTTGAGAGCATAATGAAGAAGTACCTCCAGAAGTAGCAGCCAGGCCAGGTAAAGGCGGCAGGCTGGGAGCGTTCTTCCTGGGGATGGAAGCGAGAGTCAGCTGGGTCCTGCAGCCTGGAGAACACCGGGCACTGCTGCTGCCTCCCTCTGCGCTGGGGCCGATGGGAGAGCAGGGGTTTTAGAGGTTTTAGCTGAAATCACGTGCTGCTGGATACAAAGCTGGTCAGGAGCCCTCTGCTAGGTGCTTCTCATTTCTCTGTCCTTTAAAATTCAGACACAGGGGCCAGCAGGTGGCACAGTGGTTAAAGACGCTGGACTCCCACATGGCCAGCTGCAGTTTGAGTCCCAGACCTGGCAGCTTTCTGTCTCTGTGTGTGTGTGTGTGTCTCTCTCTCTGGCGAGCACAAGTGCCCCATAGCAAGTTGAAGAAGAAGAAGAAGAAATAAAATTCAATAATTCTTCAAAAATATTTTTTTTTTTTAAAAAAAATTCAGACACAGTGGAAAACAAGAGGGTCCTGCAGGCTGGTGCTGTGGAAGGTGCCAGACGTTTATAGATTCCTCACCCTCGTCTCACTTTCCTAACCCCATCCCACCTGGGGTTGCAGGTGTAGAGGTGGCAATTTGTCCGCATAGTGACGGGAGTCCTGTGGAGGTACCACAGATCCACAGAAGTCGGACGATAGATCCACAGAAGCTGGACGGTAGATGTCTTTAGGATAGCGGGGTTCGACTCTTCACCTTGTATGGAGAGGGAAATTGAGGCCCAAGGCTGGGGGTTGGGTCAGATGCAAGGGTCATAGAACAATGGTGTGGAAGAGGTGATTATCCCCCCCTCCTCGCTGCCCTAATCTCTAGGACAAAGGTAAGAAGGAGACTTCACCGCTAATAATGGCTTGCATTTATTGTGTACTGGGGATACTCAAAAAGTTCATTGAAATGTGTATTACAAAAAAAAAAAAAAAAAAAACTATGCCTGGAGTTCAAATTTGTTTGTAACAATAGAAACTCGTACTTTAATTCCATTTCCACTCCCTTTTTGAAGTACCCTCGTATAGCAGCTAGTCGTTTGATATACACAGTCACCCTAAGAAGTTGTTCCTTATCATCCATTCCCATCTTACGGGCCGACACACTGAGGATCGGACAGCCTAAGTCACTTGCACAAAATCACCCAGGCAGGACAGAGCTTTGAATCTCTCGAATCCTTACCTCGATCCACAGTATGTTTCCTTAGGAACACACTCCAGGACTCTTCCTAAGTGATACCAGAGCTGCCCGAAGCCCCCGAGCTTCACAAAGCTCCCAGTTACCGAATCGTAGAACGCGAAGCCCTCCAAGCGCAGGTGGTCCAGCAACTTCACGGGCCGCTTGGCGTGGCCCTTGCCTCAATCCCTGGGCCTCCTTGACCGAAATGAGCCGCCCAACTGCCGCTGCTGGAGACCTGTTTCTTCGAGAGGCACCCTCAGCCCATCAAAAAGCCATCGCCTCTGCCGTGGAGACGGGCTTGACTACATCAGAGCAAATTAATTTGACTTAACATGGCCTTCTCCCTGCTCTCAATTACCGAGTAAAGATCTGATATTCATTTACATTATTATGCTCTCGGGGACACAGAAGGCAGCTTCAAAGGCCAAGTAAAGGGCACACGTCCGTAAGGGGTCTGGTCCTTAGCAGGAGTCATCCCGGAACATCCTGTCGCTGTCCTTTTTTTTTTTTTTTTTCCCAAAAAAAAAAACAAAAAAAAAACCTCATCTCCTTCCCTCCCCCAAACAAGATTCTTCTCCAAGGATACTCACCACGAGAACAGAGCACCTGCCTGAAAATCTCCCCCAGGCTTGATTTCCATGCTGGAGTTTCCAACTACGCTATACAAGCCCAGTCCCCGAGATGTATGGATAGTGGGCTCCGGAACTTAAAAAGCCCCACAGGGACCAGCAGGTGGCATAGTGGTTGTGGCACTGGACTCCCACATGGCTGACCACGGTTCAAGTCCCAGAGCCAGCAGCTTGAAACTCACAACAGGGCACATGTGCGTGCATGTCCAAAATCCAAAGAGGAGAATGGGAGAGAAGGGATTGTGGTGTGGCCATCCCCCCTGCAGAGGTGCTTTCTCACTTTCTCTCTCTGTGTCTCCAGTGAATATACATGCCTATAGAAAAAATTTTTCAAAATAAAATTTTTAAAAAGCCCCCAAAGCTCAGTGCTTCCCTATAACTAGCCATGAGAGCACAAGTAAGCGGTGGAGCCTCGCTAAGCATCTGTGTCCTCAGCTGGAATATAGGGGTGATGACGTTACCCATCACCTACAGTAGCATCATGGGTTGTTTTTGTTTTTTGTTTTGTTTATTTTTTGCTGTAGAGTGCTTGCACTTACCAGAGAGAGAGAGAGAGAGGGAGATGGCCATGCCACAATCCCTTTTTTTCCAGTCTCCTCTTGGGATTTTGGGCATGCATACACACACACCAGTGCGATTTTCAGTCTGCCGGGTCTGGGACTTGAACAGTGCAGTCAGCCATGTGGGATCCAGAGCCTTTCCCTCCACGCCACCTCCTGGCTCAACATTGTGGGTTTAATGAGAACACAAAAGATCCCTAGCAGGAGCTTGACCCCCAGTGGATTCGGTAACTGCTGTGTTATCCTGCTCTCAGAAAGCCGGGTCCTTGAAGAAGCCTGTTCTCCGCTTGCTCCCCTCCTGCCACATGCATCATCATTCTCAGTGGAGTCTCTCCAATAAAGCTCACCTTGGCACGGCAATGGGAATGTAGAACTCCAGGGCCTCCACCCGCACTCATTCTCCCCATCAAGATGTACCCGTCCTGTGTGTCAGTCATCAGCTCTGACCTACATTCGCTTCCAGCCTCCTGAGATGCAGCTGCCTTTGAAGACTTCCTGACTCCACAGCTGTTTGGAGAGAGAGAGAAGCGGGCCAGGCCTCCCCAGAGGCCATCGATCCAGAGCCATTCAGCACGGTGACCCTCAAGAGGCAAGATGGGTCTGCAGAGGCATATCCCACAGGAGAATGGGGCTCCCAGCATGCTTAGGCTATGCAAAATAAAGTGTTGGCTCCATGACATCTGTGCCTTCTCTCATTTCTACAACCGTGCTACTTGGGGATCTGGAGGGCAGAAATAGGGGCACAGCTACGGGTACAAGGGTTCCTAACAACGGAACCAACTCACAGTGATTGTGGTTTGGAGTGTATACTGCCATTTCTCTCCACATGTGTATCTACATGCAGTGAGTTACTTTTTCCTCTT